GTACAAACTTAGTGACTAACCTCCTCTTTGATTTTAGATTCCTATTTTTTTTTTCACTTAACTATGTTTAAGTTGTTTTCCAGGAGGCAATTCTAGAAATATAGAATGCACTAGAAGGAAGATAGGAAAGGTTTCTATTCTCTGGGGCATGATTCCTCTGTGAATCTAATTTGGAAGTAGCCTTGAGGATAAGTGCCAAGAAATGTCTTTCCTTACCTGGGAGATTTTTTCCTTGGGTTATTAATATTACCAACAAGATATAAAAGAAAATCTATTACCTTACTAGACATGAACCACATTACAGAAGTCATACGAATGCTTTAAAAATACCCAAAGCAAAGTTCATTTTTCAGATTATCCAATTCTGCACTCTATTTACTAAAAATTTTACAAGTATAAAAGTGTCGTTCAATTATTTAGATAGTTAAACATAATAGTGAGGTTTTAAAGTTGTTGAATTCTTTATACATATTCCTGAAAGCTTTCAAATTTGATGATTCATCAGTCATATCAACTGTTCATTCTTGAAGTCAACTCTGAAGAATTCCATAATCCAAACTGGAAAATGTTTGTTCAGGTAAAAAGAGAGATATCTATCCCTCTGTGACAAAGCATTCACAGCATCAGTGACTGAGTGTGCCCTTTTCTTTTCTTTGTAGTCACATCTTGATTTATATGGAGGTGATCCTGACTCATCTTCATCAAAGTAAGCTGTCATCTTCTAGGACAAAAGGCAAAATTGCAGAAGCCTAGACTTGTAACAAGTGACAGAAGATGAAATAGAAAACCCAGGTACGATATTTACAAAAACTATTCACTGCTGTTAGAACAACAGCAAAATGGACTTACTTTGAATAGAGTGTGTATTTCTTAAGAGGAAAGTTTCATCATTTGATCTCAATGGTTTATTTTTGTTGTTGTTGTTGTTGTTTTGGGGTTTTGGGGGTTTTTGCCAGAATTTCCAACAATAAGATAACACATAGCATATGCATTTCTTTCATTTTATAGAATAGTCACAGACTAAGTGTAATGGCCATAATCACCTCCAAATTTTGTACTAGAGTTGTTTAAATGTAAACTGAAATAGAGAAAATGCACACCAAGATATAACAATATAATAATGTATGTATATGATCTTCACAATAAATTCTTTTAGATTGCTTTATACACATCTGAAAATCCAACAAGTATGGATTGTGTATTTTAATACATTAAATTTATGGTAAGGGTTACTAGTTCTGTATAAATTGTACCTTGTATGTGTTATTTTTTTAAAGTTCTAGTTCTGTGTAGATGTTTTATTTCTGTTGATATTTTTATTTTTGTAAAGTATAACACCATGTTGTTCAATCACTATCACTATCCATCTCCAAAACTTTTCATCATTCCACACTGGAACTGTGGACCCATTAAACAATAACTCCCTATTTCCTCCTCCTCCTATTCCTGGTAAACTGTTTTACTTTCTACTTCTATGAGTATGACTATTTCAAGTGCCACATAAAAATGAGATCATAACATATATTTTCTTTTGTGTCTTGTTTCTTTCCTAGCTTAGCATGCCTTCAAGTTTCATCCATGTTGTAGCATGTATCACAATTTCATTCATTTCTAAGGCTGAATAATATACCATAATACCACAATTTGTTTATTAATCCATTAGATGGATATTTGAGTTTTTCTATCTTTTAGGCATTGTGAATAATACTGCTATCAATATCAATATTCAAATATTTGTTCTAGTCTCTTCTTTCTGTTCTTTTATTCATGGTCCCAAATTTTTGGATATGTAAATTAATATCCCCTTATTACAAAATGTGGAAACTTGTGTTCTAGGCAATCAAGTTACAATGAACATCCACTTGTGCCTTATTGAAAAGACTATTTTAGTGTCCATGAAAATAGAAGTTATGAATCTTGTTAGGTGCAAGATTTACAGAACCTTAAGAAAATTCCCAACATCTATTTCTGCCTAAGGGTTAATTACATGGATATTTTCTTATTTTTAGGGTCTTAAAATATAGTGAGTGAAACTAGACATACCACATTACATCTAACATCTAACCTTCTAATTTACAAAAAGATTAAGTTTAGTTTTACTGACAAATTTCAAAGAAGGAAATGAGACATAAAGGGAGGTAATGAATTTCCATGCAGTAATGTGAATGGAAATGGAAAGGATAACCTCCATAACTGGGTACAATAATGACAAATCTGTCCATTCCCTGGAGGATGCTTCTCTGGGTAATTAGAGAGCAGAGTGGACTTTACTAATTGCAAAAATGAAACACTAAAATTGCATGGGGAAACAAATAATTGTAAATAATATGTTGAATTATTTGGTATTTATTTTTAGAAAGTTTTCTATGAGCTTTATTTGCATTGTCCTACTTAATCCTTAGAACCACCCTATGTGTCAGTGCTATGATCATTCTCACTATACAGATGATGCTGAGTAATTTATCCATAGTGGCACACTTGGTGCATATAGATTCTGAAGCTCCAATTCTAAACTAAAATTGAGAAACTAAGCTGTCAAAAACTACACTCGTGCAAGCATACCAGCACACCTTGGTACAATTAAAAAGCAAAACACAGACCTGACCATGACTGTACACGAGCCCGGAGACTCACCTTCTCAGATTACTGCTTTTCCTATTTTTTCTATTTGTCCCCAAAGTCTATTTAAACACACACAGTTTTCACGCATAGTATTTTTACTTTACTGTGAAGATGTTAACTTGGAAAAAACTGTGATATTTCTTTAAAATTTATTTTTTCTGAGAAACAGTCTGCGGAACTGAGTAGATGTTCATTAGACTCTCAGATTCTTCCTGCATCATATCTATGGTCAATAATCAATTATTTTAAAAAGCTGTTGCTTACATAGGGAACAGTTTTTATTACAAAGAGAGTTAAATAGAAACATTTAGACATGGATTGTGATCATACGTTTCAATCGTGTCTGGAATAAAACGCAAACTCACACACTGTATAAGCGGTTTGTTTTGTCATATGTTGTTGGGTTTGGCATAGTGTAGTAGATCTACTTAATTCATGTTAACTTAATTGTCACACGGGCTACTTCCCATGGACTAACATTTTTTGAACATGTGTTAATTATTTGTTCTTATTGGATCTGTTAAGAAATCTGAGGAATCTTACAAATGTTTGAATCAAACATGTTTCTTTTCTCATAAAATATAATATTATAAAGTTTTCTATTGTTAAGATAGATTGACAGTTTTTAACGGTTTATAGTAATTATAATTTTCCTAAGAACATTTTTAATAGTGAAATATTTCCACAGTGCTTATAGCGTTATACACAATAACTGTTATAAACACTCTAGAGGTGAGCAGGCGAGACCCGTCTGCCTGAAGTTGTCTCTTTAATGCTCAGATATTCCTTTGAATTGGAATTTCTTATTTTCCATTATAAATGCAGATATAGCTTCAGAATTGTGAGTGAGGACATTTAATTATGTACATATGCAGTAAAATATCAGAAGCCCCAAAGATAGAAATTGGTTTATTAGACAGCTGGTCTCCGGTACTGATACATCCTAAAGTTTGAATTGGGATTTTTTTTTTTTTGACCCAGATATATAGTATAGATTTCTGAAAGCAAGTGACAGCACTGATGCTGTTACCTTCCAGGATATCATCTGACCGACAGCTGTAGGAATCTGAAATTCCTCTCATTCATGCCTCCCAAGCAAATTGCTTACCCATTTTAAAGCGTATTTCATTCTGCCTATGATTTTTGCTAGTGTCTGTCTTCCGTTTTCCAGTTATCTCTTATTTTGAATGACCTGGAAGTTTATTTACTTTACTTATTGTACCATGGATGTCTTATTATTCAGCATGAACTCAGATAGCCAAGAACTAATGAACAAAAGAACTCATTTATTGACGATTATAACTAAATAACTTTTAGCACATGCCAAGTCAGCCTGATTAATATAAAAATGATCTACCAGAAAAAAAATATGTCATTTAGGATAAAGGTGTCAGTGGTAAGATAATTTTAACAGAAATTTGTACGTAGGAAAATCATTGCATTTCCAATAAGGAATATGCCTTGGGGCATGATTTTCATAACATTGATAAGATAAAAATCAACTAAGATTTCCATATTTTAGCATTCTTTTTACTGTATTATGATTTTCCCCCAAATCTTTGCTCCTCACCTTCTTAATTGTTCATGGTTATGCATAACAAATTTGAAATACATAACAACTTTGAAAAGTGGGGAAAATGTCTGTATAGTGCCCCTCCACTTTGAGTTGTATTATCGATTATTTTTCCTTCGATAGCCTAGGTTGCAATAAATGGCAATTCGGTTCTGTATATGTGTGTGTACGTGCATAATAAACTCATGCATATGTGTAAGTTTTCAAATAAACCTTGCCATTGGACTTTCATGGCTGTTAAGAAATTAATATGTTTATCTTTATTCACTTGCTCTATCGTGATCTTCAAAATTCAGTTTAATTAAATAAAATTTAATTAGGAAGCATTTAATGAACATTCATAGTTTGTCTCATGTTTTTGTTGCTGTGAGTTTATTTCTAAATTATAGGAGCTCCTAGTAAAGTATTTCCGAAAGGCAAACATCTAAACATCAGCCTATAATTTTATGTGCCATTTACTTTATGTGAATACTTAAGTAAAGCCAATAATTATGAGATTGTTTTCATGGCAAAATTTAGAGAGCCAAGAAAGCATCAAGGGAAAAAAAATATCAAACATGCAATGTTCTTGAGAGATACTATGGAGAAAGCAGATGTCTTGATTTAAGTAGATCTGTTGACAGATACATCCGCTTATATGTATTTTAGAATGCTGAGGTCTCTTCAATGTAGCTGAGACAAGAAATTTAGTGAAAATGAAAAGGGTAGTTGTGGAAGGAGATTCTGCACACTTATTTTCTAATGAGCTAGTGTGGGAGGCTCTGTGGGGGAAACATTACGTTTTAGACATGGAGCTTGTGACCATCTCAAATTTACTATCGGCCCTTTTGTTCGCAGGCTCTGACACCCGAATTCAATACCTTTAGAGGAACGCATGGGAAGGAGGAACAACGTGACTGAATTTGTGCTCCTGGGGCTGACACAGGACCCCGCTGGGCAGAAAGTTCTGTTTGTCGCGTTCTTGCTCATCTACACCGCGACGGTGCTGGGCAACCTGCTCATCATCGTGACTGTCACCGCCAGCCCGTCCCTGGGCTCCCCCATGTACTTTTTTCTGTCTTATTTATCATTTATAGATACTGTCTATTCCACTGCCATTGCCCCCAAAATGATCACAGACTTGCTTTCTGAGAGAAAGACCATTTCCTTCCAAGCTTGCATGGCTCAAGTTTTTCTGGATCATTTGTTTGCTGGCACTGAAGTCATTCTTTTGGTGGTGATGGCCTATGACCGATACGTGGCCATCTGTAAACCTCTTCATTACCTGATCATCATGAATCGCCGGCTGTGTGTTCTCCTGCTGTTGGTGGCCTGGCTTGGAGGCTTCCTTCATTCATTAGTTCAAGTTCTTCTTATTTATCAGCTCCCTTTCTGTGGACCCAATGTCATTGACAATTTTGCCTGTGATTTATATCCCTTACTGGAACTTGCCTGCAGGGATACCTACCACCTTGGACTTTCCCTGATAGCCAACGGAGGGGCAATTTGTACTGTCACTTTCCTCATTCTCCTACTTTCCTATGGGGTCATATTACACTCTCTGAGGGCTCAGAGTTCAGAAGGGAAACACAAAGCCTTCTACACCTGTGCATCCCACATCACTGTGGTCATTTTATTTTTTGTCCCCTGTATCTTTCTATATGCACGGCCCAATTCTACCCTTCCAGTTGATAAATTCGTGACTGTGGTTTTAACTTTTATAACCCCCATGTTGAACCCTCTAATCTACACACTGAGGAATGCAGAAATGAAAACTGCCATGAGGAAACTGTGGCATAAAAAAGTGACCTTGGCAGGATGAGGGCTGTATGTCTTATGTGGAACAAGATTTTCGTTTTTTCACAGAAACAAAGTAACTAGCTGCTACTACCTTTTGTTATTATTCCTTTTGATTATTTAGCTTATTTATTCTGAAACAGCCATATAAATTAATATTTATCAACATGGAATATGTTCTACTCCTTACAGACCAAGTGAATTCCATAGGTTTAATTAATATCTAATACCATTTATGTAATCATACAGTGTTAAGACTCTTTGGTGAACAACAATTTCTAGTTTTATTTCAAGTATTTTTTCATATTTTAGAATACTATGGGTACATATGATTTAGTTACATAGTGTGATTTTACATATTTTAAGTCAAAGTTAAAGCTATAGGTTTACCCTTTACCTAGAAAGTATGCAGGGAGCAACCAGCAGCTGTGCGGGGAACATGGGGCTGGATCAGTCCAGGGAGCTGGGAATGCCAGCAGCTGCAGGGGGATGAGTGGCTCAAGCAGTTCTCTGGCTGCAGGGCCAAGATAGGGCGCTTGGTCCTGCTGGGGAGAGGGGACGCAGCCTTTGGGTCTCCTCTCACTTTCTCTGCAGGCAAGGGGGGAAGGGTGGACTGGAAATTCAAAATGGCAGTGATAACTGTTAGTTCTATTTTTCTGCTAGGCTAGAGGGTGTTCAGAGTCTCAATAGGGTCGTTCTAGGAGAGTAGACCCCACTATCTGTAGCTCTCACACTTGGTGTGACATAATAGGTCCTCAGTTTGTCGCTTGCCTATAGGAAACTTACAGGAGCTGACAAAGAGAAAACAAAGAAAAAAGCATACCTTTCTTGGGGGAGAGGACAGACACTTTTCCTTTGGGATGTATTCTGTACCTGTAGATTGCTTTCTAGGAGTTGCAGCTTGTGTCAGCAGAGGTGTCCTGCAGATATCACTCCTCTCTTGGCTGGGCTCCTTATCTTCAACTTTGTTGGGTGTTTTCTGGACTTTATCCTTCTCTCCAGATGGGAGCTTCTGTCACAGGCTGGTATCTGTTGGCCATCTTGCCCCTCCCTCCCCACCTCTTTAGAGGACAATTTAAGTCATTCACATTAATTGAGAGAATTTGTAGAAATGGTAGTTTTTTGGGTCTCATGTTTTTCAAAAGTCCAGCGGATAATTTTAATCCATTCACCATTGTGGAAGTTAGGTTTTGTTTGATAATTTCTGAGTGAGTTTACTTTGGTGGTAGACCATTGTGTTGGTCATTATGGAGAATGGGTCTGAGTATATCCTGGATGGCTGGTTTAGTTATGACAAAGTTCCTTAACATGTGTAGGTCAGTAAAGTATTTAATTTCTTCATCACAAATGAAACACTATTTAACTGGCTTTAGGATCCTGGGCTGACATTTGTTTTGTTTTAGAAGATTGAAGGTGGATGACTATCCTCTTCTGGGTTAAAAATTTTCAGCTGAAAGATTTGCAGTCATTATAATATTCCTCCCCTTGTAGGTAATGATTTTTTTATGTCTGAATGCTTGCATGATTTTCTCCTTCATATTGACTTTGGCAAAGTTGATTACAATGTGTCTAAAAGATGTTTTATTTAGAATGAGTCTCGCTTGGGTTCTTTATCAACTATCTGAATTTCTTGCAATACTTGGAAATTCTTCTTCAATATATCTTGGCATTGAGCATCCATGCTTTTAGGACCATCTTCTTCTTCATGAATTCCTATAAGTCAAATGTTAGATCTTTTGGAAATATCTCACAGCTCTCTTCAGGATTGTTCTGCTCTTGATAACCAGTTTTCTGCCCCTTTAAATGGTTGGGATCATTCAAAAGCCTTGTCTTCAATATTTGACATTCATTTTCTGCTTGGTCAACTCTATTAATGAGGGATTCCACTGTACTTCAAAACACCTTGAATAATTTTTTTACTTCCTTGAGCTCTGCTATTTCTTTTCTCATTATGTCCATATCCTTGGTGACCTTGTCTTTGAATTCATTAATTTTTGAGCCAAGTTTTGAACTATCCTTGGATTTCTATTTCTCTCTCTTTCTCCATTCTATTCATCTTATTTGCCAGCCATATTCTAAATTCTGTTTCTGACAATTCATCCATTTGTCTATGAATGACATGTTCAGCCATATCTCCTTTATCATATGTGGGGGGGTTGATCTACTCTGAATATTTATGTTGCTGGAGTTCTTCCATTGGTTCTGTGCCATGATTATTTTCTACCATTTGGTTATTAAAACTGGTAGGGTGAGATTAAATTGGGGCCTCCAGGTATTAAACAGCCCTTTACCAAAGTGCCAGGCCTTGTAATGGTGGCTTTTCTCCTACAACCTTACAAAGGTCCTGTTTGGAGTTGTTGCCAGAGACTCTGATGACCTGCTTGGTGAGATAGCACAAGCTGGCTCTGTTTTGAAATCAGCCAACCTCCACTGTATCATAAGAAGTCGTGGTATTAGGTTTAAATCTCAACTGGAAAGAGATTTAAACAGCTGTGCAGCTGTGGCACCCCACCCCCACCCTTCAGTTCTTTCCTGCTACAGAACATCTGCAGCTCATTCTTTGAGGGTTCCTGGGTAGATAGCCCTAGTCAAGAGTTCCAATCAGATTGTTTAGGGCAATCAACAGAGAAAGATCAAAATGTTTCCAGGGATAGGCTGTTCCATCCACAAATTTAAGGGAATGGTTTCCAGTCCCCTCTGGTAAGCCACCCATTGCCTGTCAAAGTCCTAGCTGGGTGTCAGCACCCCCGTCCACTGGGCATAGTCACAACAAGGAGTCTTCACCCCTGCCTGTTAGTACAGTCGGAACCAGGCATCAATGCCTCTGTTTGCCAGGCACAGTCAGAACTGGGGGTCTATGTTCCCACCCACTGGACACAGTCAGAACCAGGTGTGTGTGCCCTCACCTGATGGGCACAGTCAGAACCAGGAGTCAGTGCCTCCACTCACTGGTGCACTCAGAGCAGGTTTCTGTGGCCCTACCTGCTGGACACAGCCCAACCAGGCATGAGCGCCACTGCCCACAGGCATAATCAGAACTGGGGCTCTGTGCCTCCTCGCACCATGCACCATCATGGTGCATCTCTTTCTTCCTCATATGTCCCTTTCTTTCTCTGCCCTTCTGCTTCCCCACAGTCACAATATCTGTGCTCCTGTCTAGAAGCTCTCACAATGTCCAGATATTTCAAGGAATGGCCAAACACTCTGGCCTCTGCAGGAGACAGAACTTCAGACTGCCATGTGAGGGGAGAAGGGTAGACTGGGAGTTCAGATTTGTCAAGAAAACATTTGTTCAATTTCATGCTGAGCAGGGTGGTGTCTGGGTTCATAAGTGGCACCTCCCTAGAGAAGGAGACCTGATGTTTAGCGGCTCTCTACAATGGGGTAAAGGGAGAAGCCTTTTGTCCCCTGCTCACTTGCAGAGAGCCCCTGCTGAGCCTCCCAATAGGCGTGGGGTTTCTGTCCTCTTGGCGATGGGCTTTGTACCTGTAATTTGGTTTTCTTTTTCTTTTCTTTTCTTTTTTTTTAATACCTGTAATTTGGATGCTCTTCCTTGGAGTCACAGCTTATCTAACATCTTTTTTAGCTCCACTCTCCACCTTTGGCTTTATGGAGTCCAATTCTGTCCATTTTTCTCCCTCTGGTCAGGAGCCTCTGATGGAAGTTGCTTCTAGTTGGTCATCTTCCTCTTGCCCCCTACAATGTATTTTTTACTGAAGTAAAAAAAATTCAGATTCTGGACTATTGTAGTAAGCATCACTTGATGCAGGAAACATTTATGCCTCATTCAGATAAGCTGTAAGCTTTAGTAGTTCTTTGAATTCATCTGGAAGCAACATAGAGAATGATGCCTTATGTGTATATCAATTCTTCATCTTGGAATCATAATTAAATTCAGAACAACTTTGATTACACCACATAGCTGTTAAGAATTCATGTATGTTTGTGTCTCATTTGTTACCTACCTATAAGGAAGGCATAGTTTTTAGATGTGCTCTTTCATCCTTGAAATAATCAAAGGACATTTCAGTTTTAGTATTCAATCCATTTATTAGGTAAATTAAAACCTGCCATCCTTTAGTGGAGCCCATTACATGATAAAAATGTTTGGTCTTTCAGATAGTTATTTATTTTACTATCTAAGGCACTTATGGCACAGAAGATCTGAGATTGAACTAAACACATGATGAGATCATGATGCTGAATGGAGCCAATGACAAGCCATATTGAGTAAATATTAGTGGAAGTCCTTAGGTGCTATTCCTGTGATGGAAAGTAAAAATTTCTTTTTCTGTAGAGAAAGTCATTAAATTGATATTAGACTAAAATAAGGGAGTGAATTAGTGGATTAAAAATTGTTATGGTTACAACATTTGGCCCACATTCAGGCCTTGAGCAATAGCCTATACTTCAATGTAAAACTATACAACTATGATTACCTATCTTTCCGAGAATTAGACTGTCAATTTCAGCTGCAGTGTTCTCTATCTGTTGGCCTAGGGGATTCTTAGGTACAGTCTTTCCAATAGTCAGAATAAAGCCCTCATTTATTGGAATATGGGTGGGTAAATAAACATGGAGCTGCTTTTCCTTTCATTTAGGTGTAAATATTACTTTCCTTACCTAAATATTTCATTATGTGAAACTGATGATTTATTATTTAATTCATTTTAGAATTTTTCTTTTCACATTATAGGCTTTTTCCAAGCTTGATATTTAGCTTTTTCTTGGCAAGACCCAAGACTTTTTTCCCTAGGGATTATTCTAGGGAAGTCAACTTTTCAGAGAGATTACTTAAGTTGAATTTGTTCCAACTATTTTAATTAACTCATCTGTAATAACCTTACATTCTTTCATTTATAAAACTGATGATATAAAAATTTGTAAATTCTGTCTGCACATATAAATGGAAGAATTATACTGCTTATAACACAACCGAGGAGATTCTAAATCTCAATGTTCTCCCCAGCCTGGAATATGCATTTAGGTGCTCTTTAGTCCTCTACTTGTGATGTTTTTCCTCTT